TGCACAATTGGTGGCTGACTAAATACTTTTTTGCCCCACTGTATAAATTTATTCTCTTTCTTTTTTCCACTCACTGAAACCATTATACAAACACAAAGCCTTTCAATACCTTAATCCTTCAATCCCATCTGTACAACCTTTTAGTCTTTCTAGGAAACATCCAGAAATGTTTTAACATGACTTGATCACTTATTCATGGAGATTAAGTCTGGGATAAGGCAGGGTACTAAAGACAGAATTCAGAAATTGCTTTCATTACATGCTAGGAAATAGCAATTTGCCAGTGTACATCAATCTCTTACTTATGATTTATGGAAAATAAATAATGTTGATAATCCTATTTGCTTTCATACATAGTCAGCATAGCTGTTAGAAATCAATAAAAAAAAGAATCAGACTGAACTCAAAATACTATGTCCTATAAATTAGCTGGGGATGGGTATCTTAACGCCATCTGCTTCCTTTAGTAATTTCTGCAGGGATTCAGGAGAACTTTTGGGGGGTGGAAGAGCAGGAAGTCAGCCCAATTAATGTCAAGTACACAATACTGGCAAGAAAAAGAAAAGAAGTCTGTTTTTAAAATTCAACCTTCAACTCTTTACTTCCTGTCTCTAGAAGCGACTGCCAGCCTGCCTCACATTTTTCCAGCCAGTCTTCAACTCCTGGGTGTCAGAAACCCTGCAGGAACACTAGCTAGTTAGATAAACAACCCAGTCCTCTAGCTGCACCCCAGTGGAAAAATTTATGTGATGGGGTCATGGAAAAAAAGGGAGGGGGATGCATGCCAGAGCCAATTCCTCTAGAATTAAGATACTACCAGCATCAGAAAAGCATTTAATTGATATATTTTAAATATAAAGAAAATATTTAGAGAAACTCTTAATTCTTAAATGCAGTCTATACTATATAAAGAGAAAACTTAAAATGTACCTATGACTATCTCTAATACGCCTAGATGGTTTTTCAGGCTAATTACAGTATTTACTATGAAAAGATTTCCTATTACATACTGCCTGGGTCATTTTTCTAGAATGCAATCAATACATTTTAACTCTGTTTTAATAGGAAATAACTTTGTTCCATTTGTGGAGGTCATAATTGGCCAAATCAACCTATTAAGACCTACTGTTTAATAGTACAAATAATTATGATTCCTCATGATTTTCAAAGAACTGCAGTCACTATAAGAGGACATCCCCAGATACCTACTCCACCACATGTGCAAAGTCTGCAGAGGCTTTTTAAATTGGGGGGGTTGCCCCCATTGACAAAACATTCACCAAGAAAGTTCACTTGGTAGTAAGTTATTTCTGATGTGTACTCTGTTTTAAGTGTTTGAGTTATTAAGCTGTTCTAATTGCTATTTTTAATTTGCTGCTTATTTTATTTCATTTTATTTTTCCTTTATTTTCTTTACAGCCTAGGTTTATGGTTTTCACTACCTTCATTATTACTTAACATTCTTGTGCACTGAAGAGGTGGAATGGCCATGCCATGTCTTTTCAAAAACAGGAAGTCCTCCACTGTTTATGTAAAAGCCTTTTTCATGGCTGCTTCACACTCCCTATTCAAGCTGAAATTTTTCTGGCAACAGTGAAAGCCCATGTATTCCAAAGACAATCTCTCTCTACTAGAGAGAGACTACTACTACTTCCAAATTTGTCAGCGAGATCACAGATAAAATAATGATACATACCCTTCTTCTGCACTGGACTTGGCAATAACAATTCCTTATCTCAAACATTAAATGTAGATGACATTTAAAATAAGTAGCTATCAGAAAGCCATCCACTTTGGGGCATGCCTATCTGCACATAATATATACGGTACAGTAAAGGTTATATTGGCCACTGATCCTACCTTGTCTGGCTGTATATTCATTGTCTTCAATTAATCTTGCTAATCCAAAGTCAGCAATTTTGCAAATTAGACCATTTCCCACCAGGATGTTTGCAGAGCGCAGGTCTCTGTGTATGTAATTCATTCGCTCAATATAAGCCATACCTGCAGCAACCTGTTAGATTTACAATACATGATATACACTAGTTAATAAGCACCACTTGCTTTAATGTGCATACCTTGGATTAATGACACATTCAGATTTACCTGTGCTGCCATGTCTACCAGGTTTGGCAATTTCAGAGCTCTTCCTTCACCATCCTTTAGGAAATCTAGCAAGCTTCCTGCAATACAAATACAAACAGGTTCTTAAATACTATTTGATTGCCTCAAACTAATAAAAATTATATTCATAAACACTGTTAATAAAATAATATTAAATAGAAATTTATTCCTCCCAAGCAGTGGGGATAGAGAGAAAGCTGGATTATTCCATGACCAAAGGAACTCCAAACCGTTTCTCTGAAGTCCTTGTTTTTTGTTTTTCCAAAAAACCCTAATTCATATGATGACAGATTACATGTATCAGGTATAGATTTGTTTTTCCAATGTTGTATAATAATTGTTTTGGCCATTCTCCATACACAAAAATATTTCATAGTTCTTAAATCAGCAATTTAAATTTACAGTCTATCAAAATAATTTAAATGATCATAGCTCCAGAAAACATGTATTACATGTTTACTTACTTATAAATTGCATATATGTCTCCAAAGGAACATAAGTTTAATTGAAATATAATATCCTGGTATATATACATATTACAGCAGACCTTAAATAAAACTCAAAATCACACATGAAAGGTCATGAAAAATGTCAGATTAATATAAAATTCATCCTACTGAATTTTAGAGGCAATTCTCAATGATTCTACTTTCCATCTGCAAAATATTTCGGCAAACCCTTGACAGCTGCAGCAGATTTAATATATCATCCCAATTCAGAGGTAAGAAACTGTTTGATAATGGGGGCAAACTTTTTAATTTGTTTTGGGGGTAGCAACAGACAGCAGAGAGTGCCCAACTGATGTAGTGATGTGGGTGATGCCACAATTTCTAGGACTGTTTGTTAGGAGATTAGGGAGTGTTCGTTTCAGTGAGTAAAGCTGAATACACTTTAAAAGGCTCCCCCTTGCTTTTTGGGGGGAGGGGGAACCTTCGAGTCATTCTTGTCTTCTGGCAACTGTCTGGACAAGTCCTTGTAGTTTTCTTGGTAACATTTTTGGAAGTGATTTTTCATTACCTTCTTCCTAGGGCTGAGGTAGCCCAAAGTCACCCAGCTGCATTTAAGAAAGGATCAGAATTCACAGCCTCCTATTTTCTAGCCTGGTACCTCTAGCCACTACACCCAACTGGCCCTCTCCTCCTCTACCCTGTGTGCATACCAAAGGGAAATTTTGGCTCTTGATGATCTCCTGCCAAAATACAGTACAGTACAGTAATGCAGTTTCTCATAGCTTAAGGATTCACTACCAAACTATGGAAAAGAGCAGAAAATGCTACCTTTTTTGTCTAAAGCAGCAACAGATGCAGAGTTAAGTTCCACATAGCTTTGGATTCAGTCCCTTTTTTTCAATATAGTTTTCTATCCCTAAACACAAATTGTTCTCTACAGTGCAGAACAGAAGTGCTCAAGTTCACGGAAAACTGATTTACTGAAGCAAAGTACCAGCTGAAAAAAATATACATCCTGTAGTATCAGTTTGCGTGAAATTAGGGCAAACACAACGAAGAGGAATCCTTATTAGGACAAATCAAGCACTCTGCATTACTCCTTAAAGAATGGGAAACAGCAGTGCCCAGTCATGGGTAAATCATTAAAAGAACTCTTCCCACCATTTATCACCTGCACAGAACTCTTGTGTAGATAATATATTTAAAAGGTCAGTTCAGAATGCTTACTTAAGCATTTCTGGATGGAGAAACTGGTTTGATCACACAGCAATGCCTGAGCTCAGCAAATTCATGAAGCCAGAATATAATTACTTTAGGATGTGGAAATCAATAGCCCTTTCCATTTAAGGGAGCATAAGATGCAATAATATATAAACATTTCAAGATGCCATGTTAAGAGCCTGGTATGAATTGTCAAATAGGAACAGAAGGATGGAAAGGAAGAAAATTGACCATTTTGAAATATTTATGTGAAAGGTAATCACAAAGCTATAAAAAAATTCAAGGAAATAAAAAAATAAAGTAGCTGGGGAAAGATATATTCTCAGAAAAACACTAAAATATGAAATAATTGGAAATTCTCATATTGTCTGGAAATGCCTTAACTATTCTATCTGGATCATATCAGTAATTTCCAAATATGTTTTCTTTCATATCTGTGGATTAGATAACTTGGATTCTATTCGGGTCTCTCCAATCTTTGTGATTCCAGTCACAGACACAATGACAATTTCTGAACTTCAAACCATGGGTATCTGAGAATTTGGATGCAACAGGCAAACGGTTATGACCACAGAAATCTATGGATGTTTAATTAAGGGTCTTATCCAATATAAACTTCTAAGCAATTTATGAGTGGATATTTATTCCTTTTTCTCACACAATCTTTCTTGTTTTGAATCATCATAGAATCATCCAGGCTCGCAAAAATTAGTGCAATATATTGAATACTACAGCACTCAAAATATTAAAAAACACTAAAAAAAAAAAAGAAAAAGAAAAATTGCTCTGAAAAGTGCAATAGAAAACAGTATGCCAATAATGTGAAGATACAATTAAAATATATAAGGAAAACGTATTTTCTTTTCAACACTTTAAAACTGGGATGTAAATAGACTGACTCTTTGCTAGATTATTACTCGGAATGAAGCACAAGAAAAAAGATACATGTGAAAGGATTTCATAAAGGAATAAACCAGAATTTGGACACTGTGGCCCAAACAGATTTTGTGCCATCTTTCAGTAAGCAGCTAAAATAGTGAGGGCATGAAGAGAGAGGCAGTAGCAGAAAAACTTTTTGGATGGTTGGAGAGGCCTTTATAGTGTTACAAAGAAATCTTGGTTTGGGGGAAAAGGCTTTATTTCCTTACCATTTTACCTTATCAGTAACTTCTAACCCTTATGTTCTACAATTCTAAACTGAGTTTGAGCAAGATATTAGTTTTCAAATTCAAGGTATGGTGATCCAGGTTCAAATCCCCATTCACCATTGTCTGTGTACATAATGGATAAAGTAGATTTATAATTACTACTAGACAACCCGTGACCCATTGGGTCATCGTTTCAGAGATATTTCCTTACTTAAACAGAGAAACAGAATGGCCAAGAGCAAAAAAGCAGTGGGAGTGACGTATGACTAGCTGCTGTCTTCCCCATTGACTTTGCTTGTGGGAAGCTGGCAGGGAGTGCCAGAAACAAACAAACCTACCTACCTACCTACCTACCTCCTTCCTTCCTTCCTTCCTTCCTTCCTTCCTTCCTTCCTTCCTCCCTCCCTCCCATCACCTACCTACCTACCTACCTACCTACAATATAGGCTTGCGCCATTTGCCCTCCCTTCACAACCCTCAGGAGAGCCCCAGTGAAGCTTATTTGTCATTAGTTTGGTTTTCTTTATATTTAACCTTGTCCCATTTTTTGGAGCTCCTTGACTTTCCTTAGTAGATCTTCCAGTTCATTTACGTTTTCTGCTATAATAGTAATGTTATCATCACAGTGCAGGTTACTGATGTTTCTTCTTCCAATTTAAAAATCACTCTCATTTCTTCTTTCAATCAAGTTTCTCTTAATATACTGTATATTCAGCATAAAGGTTTAATAAATAAGGAGTATACAGCCTTGTCTCACTTGTTTGATGACCTTGAGCCAGTCTGTTTTGCAATGATACATCTGGACTTGTAAAGGAATTTAGATATTACCTTGGGGAAGGTATTAAGAGTAGCTAAGGAGCTTGGAGAAGTGATTATATAGTCCAGAGATTGAAGAAAGCATGAGAAAGAAACTAAAAAATAACCCTGCTTTGATTTTGTTTAGTGCAAGATGAGGCAGAGAGAAACTTGGGCAGGTTTCAAGGTTTTATTACTCTACTCTACAACAATATGTAGCATTCCTGGAATCTCAGTGGTGTCTGTTTCTTGACTTGACCTACCTCAATGGGCTGACATCAATCTTCAGTATCTTTACAAATGTTGTTGTAATACTGCTTCTTGTCTCTTCTAACAGGTCTCTGAAATTGTTTTCCTTCCTGAGATCTTTGTCTTTTTTAGCTTTGGCTTCCCTACTTGGACATTTCTACCATATGTTCTGACATCCAGTTTGCTTCTTCTGTTTCTTGGTCTTTGGCAGTTTCTTTTCACATTCATCCTTAAGAATGTATTTGATATTGTTCCATAGTTCCTATCGATGAGGTTTAGGATCTCAAAATGATTCCTGATATTCTCCTGAAAATGGTGGGCATATGCTCAAGATCTTATTGTGGAAATTGGCTGGCTTTGCTTTTTTCCGATTAAACTGCACATGAACAGTTCATGATCTGTTTCACAGTCAGTTCCTGGCCACGTCTCAGCTGTTATAACTGTATCCTTTCACCTCCTTGTACCAATAATATAGCCAATTTGATTTCTGGGTACTCCATCTGGTGATATCCTTACATATATTGTTTTGGTTGTTGAAGACTGTGTTTAGCAATGGAGAAATAAATGGATTGGCAGAAACTGATAATTAATTCTCCTGCTTCATTTCTCTTTTCTAGGCTATGCAGTCCTTAGTACTTCCAGCATGGACTTTCCAGTCTCCTATCACAAGCAGAACATTTTGCTTGCATGTTCGAACAATTTCAGACTGAATGTGATCATAGCATTGGTCAACCTCCTCTTCTCTGCAATTCAGTGATAGGAGCAAAAAACTGAATAACTGTCATTAAAGGGTTGTCAGTGACGTCTAATTGATATTACTCAGTCATTAACTGCACTGTACCCAAGTACTGACTTTGTTACATCCTTCCTAACTATAAAAGCAACACTGTTTCTTCTTTGTTTTTGTTTCCTATGTAGTAAACAATATGATCTTCTGTCTGAAAGTGTCCAACTCCAGTCCATTTCAAACTGCTGATGCCTAAGATGTCAATGTGGAGTTGAATCATTTCATCTTTCATTGGGCTGAGTTTCCCTATGTCCATGCTTTTGTGTTTCATGTTCCCAGTATAATTCAGTCTTTGCAGCTTTTGGATACCTGACAACATCAGCAACTAAATATCCTGAAGATTGTGACCCAGATTGGAACCATTATTTATTTATAGGATATGCATCCCACCTTTCATTCAGGAGCACAAGGTGGTGCAACAGCAATGCTGTTAGGTACGCTGAGCTGAGAAAGAGAGAGACTACTTGGCTCAAAGATCTTCTGTGGACAAGGACCTGGGTCTCCCTGTTCCTATTCTAATACCATAACCATTACACCACAGTAGCTCTTGGAAAGAATTCTAGAAGCAATCTGGCATGTTATAATATCTTTTATCTGTTAAGGAAACTATGTCAAAAAATTATCTGCTTGTTGTATTCAGATAAGGAAACATACACGCTACTTACAAAGGTTTTAGGAGTTGAGTGGCATGTGTCTAGATAAGAAAAAGGTATAATTATAGGTAAGACTTTACATTTAATGAAATTATTCCATACGATCAATTTTTGTATGCTGTAAAACCATTTTATGTTATCCTGTTTTTAGTTAATTAATTACATTTTAAAAAAGGAAAGAATTCTAGAAACTACGCCCTACATGATTTCTCTACCTTGTTTAACTATATTGCACTGGTTTGAGGAGTTGAGTTTTCATTTATGTATTATTGTTTATTTTATGTTTCACTACTGACTACCGGAGTCAATTGGTATAAACATTATATAATTAATTAAATACAAGATAGGCCTAATTTGCATTCCATAATCTATTGAGTACAGGTACTTCTTATCTTACCTTTACCCATATATTCTGTGACAATGTAGATAGGCTCTTCTGACACCACAGCATAAAGTTGGACCAGTTTGTCATGCTTTAGCTTTTTCATGATCTGGGCTTCTTCCAGGAATGATTCTGGGGACATAGTGCCAGGCTTCAGTGTCTTTATTGCCACTTTAGTATTCCCATTCCAAGTACCTATAAAGAGATGAACAGATAAATAAATCAATAAAATTCACACATCCCTGGTTGACAGCTAAATTACAGAATGCTTGCTTGCTTGTTTATTTATTTCAGATATTAAAGCAGTCTTTCCCAATCTGGTATCCTCCAAATGCATTGGCTTTCAACTATCAGAATCCTTAGCCACAGATCTGGAGAGCACCAAGTTAGGAAAGGCTGCTGTGATACAGAAAGGAGTTGTAAAGGTTAATCTGTTACAACTTAACAGTTAAATGTGACATCTAAAAAGCAGTGAACACTAATGCAGCTGCAGAACATTGGTGATCCAACTACTTCAAGTTAGGTTCATCCTCCACAGTCGAAAGAGGAATGAGTACAAGCATGCAAAACTTGTTTTAATGACTTAGCTCACCGAGTGACCAAGAACAGGATATTTTAGGCAAATATATTTCACAAAGCTATGGCTCAGCCAAGGCATAGCACAAAGCTCCTGGGGGGAAATGTATTCATCTTTATTAGTGAGTTCCAAATGTATTGGACAAATTCATTGGGCTGAAATGTATTGATAAATATTCTTCTGCTAAAATTGTTATCATTCATTAAGAAGTCATTATAAAGAAACCTCTTTCTACTGGAGAAAGACTGCACATAGCTAGGGTCAAAGCAACATACAAAATAGTATTTTTTACAATATAAATATTAATAAAACTTGAAGGTAAGGATCCCATGGGCTCTTGTCCAAACTAATTCTCCTCTGAACTAGAAATTATGATGCTAATGAATAGGAAAATTCATATATCAACTGAAACAATTTATTGTGATTTGATCTGTCTATAGCTCAAAACTGTTTTATTTAATAATCATCCATGGAACTTTTTTTCATTAATATTCCAAAACTATACACTTATTTTTTGGGGGGGGAATCAAAAGCTAGACATGTTAACAAACACAATTAATTTGTTCACAATTAATATGCTGTAAAGCTGACAGTTTGCACACTAAAAAAAAGCTATAGCCATGTTGCTTAGCTACTTATTAATAACTAGCAAAAGGCCTGTCCCAATAATTATAAGTATGTAGAAGCTAATTTTTTATAAGGGAAAGGTAAAAGTAAAGGGTGAGCCTAGAAAAAAGCCCTGCTTGAGATTAAGTCTTGATTACTTTGATATACAGTGGTACCTTGGTTCACGAACGCTTCTGTTCATGAACAATTCGGTTCACGAACAGCTCCGTTCGCAAAATTTTGCCTCCGTTCACGAATGCCGGATCGGCATTATGAATAGGATCCGCGGCCATTTTCCCTCCTGTGACACGTGGTCGTGGCTTCCTGTACGGAGGGGGACTCGCCCTCCAAGCAGTAACCGCCTCCCCACCTGCCTTCCTGTCCTCCACGCCAGAAGTCGTGTCAAGCAAGGTTAGCTTTCTCTCTCTTCGTACTGTACTTTGTGTCATATTTTTGCGGTTTAAAAAAAAAAAATGGTTCAGAACGGATTAACCGTAATTACACTGAACCTTATGGGAAAATTTGATTCAGGACGTGATCAAAAATCGGTTGGTGACCAAATTCGAAGGGGTCAGAACGGATTAACTGTATTTACATTGAACCTTATGGGAAAATTTGATTCAGTTCACGACCAATTCGGTTCGTGACCAGAGTCGCGGGAAGAATTAAGTTCGTGAACCGAGGTACCACTGTATAAGGAATGTGCATCCCAAATTACAAGACACTTTATTTTGTCCCATAAATGCCAACAGGAGCTCGCACATAATACTGGTGTAGACTCTACCCGATCTTGGACCATATAAATAATGGTGGAACTTGGGCATTGGAGACCTCCAGTTCTAGAATCAGTAGTGCATTTTTTTACAATATAACACAGATAATGTGTTATAATGTTGTCTTTCTGTGCTTGTGTGGACTAGAATAGTAAGTCTAGGCTTCTCCACTCATGGGCCTTAACAAATGTTAGTCTAAGGGGATAATATTATTTCATTGGAACTTGTGTTCATAATGCCTTTCTTGTTCTGAAATTGGCTTCTTTTCTGATGGCTTTAAGCATCTATCCCAAACAGAACAGTTTTCACTGCCTTACCACTCCACACTTCAGCGAAACAGCCCTGACCCAGCTTCTTTTCCAGAAACAATGAATCTCGTGCAACTTCCCATGCATCCTTAGCCAATCCGACAGTTTGTGGAGTATAATTCGATGCAATCACAGTTAAGTTAAAACATAAACCATCAGCTTTCTCTACAGGAAAGGAAATTAATAAAAGAAATACTTATAATTCATAGCGTAATTGCATGCACAGAAAGATGGAAGGTGTTTTTTTCCCATTAGTTATCTGTGTTCAGTAAATTTCTAGATAGTTGCTCATAATAAATATTTGCATAGCTATCTGATTAGCATGCTTGAAAACTGAAGGCAGTTTATCAAATCTAGCAACCAAACTCAGGAAGCCCATTGCATCATCTATCTTTTTATCAATGCTTAAATGGCAGGTTTTCAGAGAGAAGCATATTACTCTAAGTAACTGAAGACATCTGCTGTTCATGCTGCTGATCCTTATTCCTTTTGCTTCCACCTTCCATCTTCCACACCTGTCCCCAGTAGCTGGGGGCTGACTAAAGAAGTTAAAATATTTTCTCAGCATACCCATCCATACTTCCCCAAACTGCCCATTTCCCAGTCTCTTGATCAACTGTAGTGATTCTCGTGGAATTTCCCAGACATCTTTGGTTTTGACAGACAGGTCAGTAAGCCTTGGCATTCCTTTATGACAAGGGACTACTAAGCGGCAGCAAAGACCCGCAGCTCTCTCTGATGAAGGAGAAGTAAAGCACAGGGAAAGAAAAGAGTAACAAACATGAAACAAACATAGCAAGCACGGAAGAAAAAACAAAAAATCGGGGCTAGTAAACAAGTTAAAATGTCTGTTAGTAGCATTCCAAAATAAGCTTGAAGATTAATCACACCACATACCTAAAACATTTACTTTTTTTTTTAATTCTGAGACCTTTGTATTTTTGACGCCACGCTGCTTTCTTTTGCTTAGCTTGAACAGGAGGACTGACATGGTCACAAAATGTAAAGAAATGAGACAAAGTTTATAACCTAATCCTGATTTCTGTTTTGCATCTAACTTAGAGCCTTTTTCACATTTTCCCAGAATGTTTTAAGTTAATGATAAGAATTCAACAGAAATTACTAGTCTCAATCAACTTCATTCTGGGTTACTGTTTCTTTCTTAGTTGATTGGAAGGGCATTCAGATGTTGGCATGACCTAATCCAACCTCTCTCCTTTCCTCTATTATTTCTATTCCTCTCCTATTCCTCTCTATTATTTCTAAAGACTGTTAACTGGAACACCAGTATACATATTAATAGCATTTAATCAGGATTCTCACTTAATCAGCTTCTCAGACTTGAGAAAAAATGGGAGATGTATACAATCATGCGAAAAAGTAAATACACCCCATGTAAATCTTTTTTAACGTATATGGACATATCAATATTTTATCTTCATTAAACAGTATATAAAGATAAAGGTGATGTAACTGAACAAAAAAAAAACTACGAAAAATTGACTTTGCAATAATTTATTCAACAAAAAATTAACAGATATGCCATTTCCTTCTGTGGAAAAAATAAATACACCCTTGGCTCTAATACCTGTTATTGCCCCCTTTGGCAGAAACCACCTCAAGTATGCATTTCTTATAACTGTCTACCAGTCTTTGACATCAACTGGGAGGAATTTTTTCCTACTCCTCCATGCAGAATTTTTTCACCTGTGAAATGTTTGAGGGGTTTCTTTCATGCACAGCTTGTATCAAATCACCCCATAGCATCTTGATGAGATTTAGATCCGGGCTTTTACTTGGCCATTCCAGAACCCTCCACTACTTTTTTTTCAGCCATTCCTTGGTGGATTTACTGGAATGTTTAGGGTCATTGTCATGTTGCAAGATCCGCTTTCAGCTGAGCTTCAATCTTCTGATAGGTGGTCTCACATTATCCTCAAACACCCTCTGTACAATGAAGAATTCTTAGTGGATTCTGTGATGGTGCACTAACCTGATACACCAGAGCAGTGGATTCTATGATGGTGCACTAACCTGATGCGCCAAAGCAGCCCCAAACCATAACATGTCCACCACCACGCTTTACAGTTGGAATCAGGTTTTTCTAGTGAATGCTCTCTTTGGCTTTCACCAAACATGTCTTCTGGTACTGTGGCCAAATAACTTTATCTTTGCCTTATCTGTCCAGGGCACATTGTTCCAGAAGTCTTGGTCTTTGCCTAGGTATTCACGAGCAAACTTTAGTCTTACCTTGATGTTCCTTCTGGACAGCAAAGGTTTCCCCCGGCATGCCTCCCATATAGATCTAATTTGTGCAGCTTCTTTCTAATGGTGGAGTCATGCACTTTGACATTGGCAACAACTACCTATATGTCCCATGATGAAATTCTAGGGTTCTTAGAGACTTCTTTCAGCATCTTGTGTTCTGCTCTTAGACTGAACTTACTGGGATGGCCTAGTTTGGTCAAGTTGGCAGTTGTTTGATATCTTCTCCACTTGTAGATGATCTTCTGGACAGTGGAATTATTGATGTCTAATTGTTTGGCAATCTTTTAAAATCCTTTCCCAGACCCATAGGCATCAATAATCATCTTTCTGAATGCCTCAGAGAATTTAGACATAATGATACCACACACTTCAACAACGAAGAGCAAATCAAACTAAATGTCTGAGGTTTAAATAGACAGATTCCTCCCAGATCCTCTTTAACAATGTTGCACCTGATCCTAATTTTAGGTATTTGGGGTAGTGATAAATGTAGGGGTGTACTTACTTTTTCCACATGCGAAATTTGCAATTATGTTTATTTAAATTACACAGTGGACTACGAAATGTAAATGATGCATGGTATTTGTTATATTATATCCCCTTTATCTATCAATATTGTTGAAATGAAGATCAAATATCTGTATGTTGAAATATGTTGAAAAACTAAAAATTTCAATGGGGTGTACTTTTTCACATTACTATACTTTTACATACTACAGAAGTTAAATATGTTGCTAAGTGGGTCCTATGCAAAAATGGAATTTGGTCACCTGGGCTGATTTTAACAAATCAGGAGGTAGAAATGCATGTTTTAAATCAGGAATGTTAAAACAACATTTAAAATAAAATTTACTCAATTGATTCTTTCCTATGTTTTGATATTTCTTTAAAAAGAAGGGAATATTGAACAAGCATCAAAAACAAGAAGCACTGAAATACCAGATTTTTAAAGTATTTTTTTTTAATCTCTAGGAAAAGGTAGAGTGACAGTCCCTGTAATTTCAGGAATATACTGGTATCAGACAGTTATTTCCTAGAAGTGGAAAAAAGTAGTGTACATCATAACATAATGTAACTATAACTTGAGACAATACTTACAAGTTTGTTCTATAGGCTCCATATTGAGCTAAACGTTGCAAATGCAGCAAAACTATGGAAATGCATATGAATTGCATATCAGGAGCCAACTATGTTGGCACATTCTGGAAGCTTGCATATTATATACATCCAATTGGCTATTTCAGCCCTGGATTCAGTGACTATACGGAGATCCTACTTCTTCTATATCACCTAGTGCTTCTCTTGCCACAGCATAAGAATAATTTCTGACACACAGTCTGTTGCTTGAGAAGAGCTGCACTATTTCAGTCTAACATTCGAAACTACTGGCTGGGATCAACATGCACAGCAAGTATTCACCTGAAATTGGTGAATGTCTGGAGGAGGAAGAGTGGAAGGTTTTCCTCATTTATTGGAGGACACAGGGAGGAAGTCAGCTAGAGTGAACCACAGAAGCCAAAACTAATGCAACCTCCCCTAAGCATAGGAAACCCCTTGAACGAAGGGTCTTAAATATAAATAGTTTGTGTATCTATTTTGTTCTCCAATTTTTCAGTGTGGTTTACATAAAAAGTTGGTAGCATTCAATAAACAAATAAAAAACAAAGTAGGATAACCATCAATTATAAATCTTCATTAAAAATTGAGATCTAAAAGACAGACAAATAGAAAAGTTTTCATCCGACACCAAAAAGAATTCAGACTTAGCATCAAGAAAATACATTGTATAATCTGGATCTCGCAATCAATGAGGCTTTTCTTTCTTGGCTGGAGAATCCAAAGAAAAGTTTTCAACAAAGATTATGACAGCTATCAGGTCCACACTTGGTTCAGTTTTATAGATTTAAATTAGCAATTTAAATTGTGTCTGGAATAAACTTGAAGCCAATGGAGATGCTTCATGATAAGTTAGCAGTCTAGCATTTACCATTTGATGACAAACTTACAGTGAACCAGTTCAGCTATTGCAATTAGAGTAAGCTATTTTAAAAATGAGTAGGGCACATAATATACTCTAATACAATATTAGGGTAGCCTAAGGTTTCTCCTCTTTCTTGTTTTGTTTGTTGTGCCCTTCCCCAATTTCCCAGGCTGACCCCAATATCCCAGAAGAGATCTGATGTTTGCTGAAGATTCTATGGGCTGATTTATCCATCTCTTCTACTAAAATAGTAGATGGATGTAAATGACTAGTAAATAGTAAATGACTAAATATTAATCCTTTTTGTAACAAGAGCCATGCATCCCCTCCTTTTTCCAAACTGCTTTATGGCATGCCTTACACTTGAAGGACAGGATCATTTCTATTCACTCCTAGCATGAAATGAATAAATGCTGAAAGCAGGAGAAAGCTGGTCAGGGCAACAGAACCAGAGCCATAATGTACATCTTATATTGTGGCATGTTTTTGAGCATGCTCAAATCATCTTGGGCTGAGTATGAACTTTTAACACTATTATCCTAAAAATGTTTTTATTCATTATTGTGGCCAGAATGTTTCAATAGGAACAAAACAATCTCTCAGTCAAGTCTTTCTCTCTCTCTTTTGTAGTTTCAATGTTATATGAGGGAGTTTAACAGGGCAGGGGAAAGGAAAGCTGATGTTGATTTACCAAGGTGCCTGGTGAGATGAAGCAGAAAGCAATCAATGGTTGACACTAAGAATTTATTGTCAGAAGAGGAAGCCCTGCTTCTTTTGTAGAGAACCTCTGTTAAAAACAGCTGGAATGGCATCATGCAAATACACAGTTGGTAAAGCACCATCAGTTCTTGCCTGTGTATTAGTGGATGATGTAATTGGCCATGACCAAATGACCTCAACAGGCCCATCATTATCTTTAAGGACTGTCATCTATTCAGTCGCTGTTTTCTGGCAATTATGGATTGCTTGATGATTTGATGCTTCCAGGCAAATCTTTAGATTGGCCTTCTCGAGCCTGATATCCTCCCGAAATACTGCCAGGGAATTATGGGTGTTGCTGTCTGAACAAGAGGATGGCACCAGGCTGAGAAAGGTTGATCCAGAATGATACCCATGGAGAAGCAAATACTTTTGCAGTAGCAATTTGTCCTACTAATTTTTGTCCTACCAACAAAAATATGCCAAGGATAACCACTGCAATATTACAGCAATAGAAAAAAATGAGGCAAGAAAAAGAAACAAATTATTGGAAGTGGAAAGATGCAAGTGGACAGAATACACGGAAGCGAAATAGCTGCATGTTTAACGCAATAGAGAACAAGGAGGTGACATCTGAGAATTTCACAGTATTAATGAATTAATATATTAAATAATAGGTGAAGCATAAATGTATAACTACACCCTAGTTAGCATGCATCCTTTGGGTGAGCAAAAAGAGAAGAAACTTGGAAAGTGCCTGAATATAGGAGCAATGAAATACTGAGTAATGAGTTCAATAAAATAGTTGAAATATAATCCTAAACTGATTAACTCCTATCACAATTTACAAAACAGTTTAAATATTGAACACTCTTAGAAAGTCTTCTTAGAATAAATAAATATATAAGAACTTCGCACAGAATATTGTATGGATGGACATGGTACACACAATCATTCTAAAACATGAAAAGGCCGTTTTCTTTTTAAAGTGAATAGTCCTAGAGACATGCATTTCTACTTATTTTACAACAGTGGATAAGAGTAGATAATAATTAGCCAATTAATACCACCCACATTCAGTGAAGTGAGGAGGACAAGATTTCCCCTCCCTAGCATGCTATGTGTACTCAGAAGTGTTTAGGAACCCTCTAATTGGGGAGAGGGAAATTAGAGAATTTCAGGGGAAGGGAGAAGGAACAATCTTGTTAAATGAAAAGAAGTCAGCTTGTAAGATACTGGATTTCTCCAGCGCTAAAATGAAAAGTTTGGATTACTGCTCAACATACAGGAAGTATTATTTTTTTCCCACTTGCCATTAATTATATCCATTAATTCTAATGTTCAGAAAAAAATAAGATTGTCTTTAAAGACCTCAGAAATAATATTATTCTAAAATATTAAATACATTTATTATTTTACTATTATTATGATCCATAACTCTCTAAAAGAACTACAAATGGAGTTTCATAATTTGTTTACATGTAACATCAATTAATATAAATATTTGTTAATGGGATGAGGAAAAAATTAAGTGTTTCTAGGAATGTGTGTTTTGGTTTACATAAAAAAAAAATTCTGATAAACAGCTCTGTAATTTTAATGTGCCATATACAATCTTTAGAGCCAGTTTGGTGTGGCACCAGGCTAGAAATCAGGAGACTGTGAGTTCTAGTCCCGCCATAGGCATGAAGCCAGCTGGGTAACATTGGCCAGTCACACTCTCTCAGCTCTGTGAAGAAGGCAAGGGCAAACCACTTTCAAAAAACCTTGCCAAGAAAACTGCAGGGACTAGTCCAGGCAGTTGCTAGGAGTCAACACTGGCACACCAAAACCAAAACAACAACAAAACCATCTTTGCATAAATATAGGACTAACTGTGGCTGAATCTTAGCCATGTCAAGCAATGAACATGAACTAAAGGCCTTCTATTTCAGCACTGTTTAAAGTATAAGCTGTCAAATAGAGGAAAACAGGGAATATAATATTTGTGGAATACTTGTACTAAACTGTACAAGCTGTACTCAATCAGAATATACAAGTATAAAGGGGTAATGATGAGGGTCACTGAAAGGAGGAAAGCATGTCCTGTCACTTACTCAAGGTGGCAATGAGCTGACAAGAGTGATTTCTTATCTCTGATCCTGATTTGGTTTACTGTCAGCTTTGATCCCAGCATTGCAGTGAACGAGGGGACAGCCAGGAGAATATTTGCATAATTTGTCAACAGAAATGTGTGAACAACTACATGGAATACAAGAACTAAGCAAGTGATTAGCCCATGTAAGGTGTCCTGAGGATAGATGGATAGAGATCTCCCTTTCTAAAGTGCCCTGAACTTTATAACACAAATGCTTTCAAATTCCAGCATTATTAAAGTCAGTATAACTATTAAGTAGAAAGTGACTCTGATTAGAGTTAAACCTAGTGACCAAATGCATGCATCCTTTAAAAAAAAAAATCAGCATGTATCTTTTCTAGAAAAAGAGTATTTCTATTTCCCAAACTAGACTAACATGGTGTGGCAGGATTTGGGTATGGGGGTGGGGGGAACAAATTAATTCTACAGGAAACAGAAGGGAAATCACAGAGATATTTAAAATCTCAACAGTAAGGACTCTGTCCCCTGCCTAGTTTTATAACTTATGCCTCCAAGCTCTCTGAGTCCTAAAATGTAGGTTAAGATGTTAACATGAAAGTAATGATGAATTCTGGGAAACTCAATATCAAGATGTGGATATAAGAAACCAATTTATGCATTATATTAATAGACACCCCAAATCTCCTTTTCAGGTAAAGTGGCTTATACCAAAAGGCCATATATTTATCAAGAACTTGCTAATGAAATTAATCTAAGCTTATGGAGTACAGAAATGCTCTGAGGCCTATATAATGAAAGTCTTTTTTTTTAAATGGTGATTCTTTTTGAGTTTTCATAATATGGGATATTTGTATAATGTATTTATTTCCAAACTAAAGACTAAAAGGAAAAAGATGGCACTAATTTCATTAACATTTTCTACTTAACAAAAAGTTAATAATGAAAGAGACATTATATCAGTCGTATTTTTATCTTAAGGAAGCTGAGTTTACTTAACAACTGAATTTTCAAAGTTACCTGAATAATGCTGAACAAGTTGTTGAAGAGTTTCAAACTGTGCCCTGGTTGTAATGTAATATCCTCCACTGTCAAGCTTGCGAATTTTATAATGTTTGACATGATCACCTTTCATATCATCCCAGTCACGAATGGACAATGAATAGGCACCTATAACAAGAAAAATAAAAGCTACATGTAGATAAAGGAAATATAATCAAAAATAATTCAACTTGTGTTGGTAACATATTACGATAAAAATGGATTAACCAGTATAATTTTTTGAAACTAAGGAAAGCATGAAAGGAGAACTTTTTAAAAGCACAGCATTCAGTGATTCTGAACTGCTCAACAATTTAGAGATTCTTTTAAAATTCTTCATTCTTCATTATATGACAGCTATATTCAGAATTAGATTTCTTTACCTTTGTTTGCAACCTCTAATTTTTAGAACTTAGCAGAATTTAAAAAATAAGCACCTCTGACCATAAGTCAGGCACTGCTTTTCTTTACTTAAGACACCAGCACGGAGTTTATGTACTAATGTGATGTTTATCTAATAATAAGTCCTGCTGAATTTAAATTTGGCACTTAAAATTACATGAAAAATCAATTTGCTTATAGATTAGATTAGACTTTAGATTTTTTTTTATCCTGCCTTTATTATTTTTATAAATAACTCAAGGCGGTGAAGGTACCTAATACTCCTTCCTCCTATTTTCCCCACATTTTTATTCCATCTGAACATGTCTCATCACCTGGTTTACCTTCACTGTTGTTTTTCCTCTGCTTTGTAATTAAAACACAGGCATATTACCTTTGGTGGTTTCACTCTCACGAATCAGGAAGGTTCCTCGTGGGTTTCCAAAAGACAGCAGCTGCCTCTCAGCATCTTTTCGTCCAAGTTTCCCAAAGTACCATCTGAACAAACATGCCAGAAACAAAAGGGTTTAAACCGGAAGTGGAATTGTTTACTTTTTACAGAATTTAAAAGTTTCTGTAAAAATCTGTGAAGATTGTTCAGGTTTTTCTTATGCCTTGAGAATACTTAAAGACTTGTCCTAGCCAGTAAAATGTTGATTTCTGATAATGATGTACTAGCAGAATGAGTTAATACAAATCATATGATTCATAATATGAATACAGGTAGTCCTTGACTTAGGACCACAATTGGGACCAGAACTTCTGTTGCTAAGCAATGTGGTCGTTAAGTGAGTTGTGCCCGATTTTACAACTTTTGCCCCAATCATTAAGTGAATCACATGGTCATTAAGTGAATCCAGCTTCCCCCATTGACTTTGCTTGTTGGAAGCCCTCTAGGAAGGTCGCAAATGGCGACCATGTGACCCTGGGATGCTGCAACCATCGTAAATATATGCTGGTTGCCAAGCACCCAAATTTTGAACATGTGACTGCAGAGATGCTGTGATAGTCATAAGTGTGAGGACTGGTCAAAAGTCACTTTTTCCAATGCCGTTGTAACTTTGAACCGTTGTTAAATGAATGGTTGTAACTCAAAGACTACCTGGTGAGACATGATGAAGACATAAAAATGTTGGCAACTATAGTCAGATTAACTTGCACACTGAAGATCTTACACTGAAAGGCCCACTGACAATTGATTATATATGTTCATGTAGTACTAAGTCAGCAATTCAATGATGTAAAACGCTGCAAAGCGTAATCCAGTGCAAGAGAATGTAATTCTGAGAAGTTATGCACAGAATTGCAGCGCTAGGATTTCATGTTTATTGAAACATTGTCTTTGGAAATGCTTCAATGTTTCCTTTAGTGCTGATATTTAAAACTGAAATAATGAATGTTGCTCCATCTGCCTTTATTATGAATTTAGCTCTGGCCAATTAACTTGAATAAAACCTTCACAATCTCAGTGCTGCTATACCCACTACAATATAAAGGGTATCTTTCCAGACCAGGAAATTCTGGATGTTCCTGCTTTTCTCTGGTAAAAGCTAGCTCATTTTCCCTTTAATTACCCAAGTATTTAGCAGCCCAGCTGAAAAAGGAAGGTAATGTAATGTGTAATTCCTTGAAAGTCACCACAATTTCAACTGCTCTCTATACAAAACACTCCCGTATTTTTTTTTTAAAAAAACATACTCTTCTGCTTGGATGGAGTCAACTGGAGCCACATAATTACTGGGAATATAACCAGTTTCTCCAGTAGTCAGGGATCGGGCTTCCCACCAATCTCCTTCTCTGAAAAGCAAGAATTAGAAAAATACAAGATTGGTTTAAAGATAACATAATCATTCGCTACCCGTGGTCCAGGTTCAGTAAAAGAACCCATCCTTTTTAGCATTCATAATGAAAGAAACAGACAATGGAATGCATTTTTCTTTTGTTACTACTGCCTAGAAATTCCACTAGATGGAGACCTTTTATAACAGCCATAAACGCTACAGTTTGTGCCATGTTCTAACAGAGAAGATTTATTCAGAAAACAGAGAAAGTGAGCATTAATTGGTACTGCTGTGTTTGTACAATTTGCTTCCATGTTAAAAGAATGTATCAGTGTGGGTGGATTCTACAGCTCTGTTGAAAAGATGCATGCTTGTGTAACTTCAATGACTTCCAAACTACTGCCCTCTGAAATGACTGACAAAAGACTGAAAATGTTTAAAGTTGAACTTTAAAAAAAAAGAAACTGGGAAAAAAAAACTCCAGCACAACATAGGGAAAAATTAATAGGCATCATTTGGGCATTTTTGTCAGTATAAATATGGATATAACTACTGCATTTGAAATCCCTAGTAAAAACTAATATTAATTATATACTATGTACTGTCATGTGCTGATTCTATATAATGTAACATTCTAGCATTGCAACCTTGTAATCTATTTTTTGCACAATAGAGTACTTTCATTTTTTTTGTACAAAGATCCTTGAAATATTATAATAGCTTAATGCTCTTGCAGTGTACTCAGCAACTAGCTTCATTCTCAGTCTTAAAGATGCTTGAATGTGCCTAATGTTTTTAAAAGCTATCATTAACAATATAGCAGTATGCATTCCAATAAAACTGTTCTTGGAATGGTTGTGGTTTTTTTTCTTATTCTCCAAGAATCTTACAAGTAGATTATTTGAAATTTAATCATGGATAGCCTTATTGCAAATCTAAAAAGTTTATTTTTCAAGTGTACAGTGGTACCTCGGGATACGAACTTAATCCGTTCCGTGACTCTGGGCGTATCCCGAGTTGGTCGTAACCCGACGCAAATTTCCCCATAGGGTTCAATGTAAATCTGGTTAATCCGTTCTGGTGTCCGCGGACCACGCATCAGGGGTGGGAAAACGGCTGGGCGCCAAGCGGTGGGAAAACAGCCACGGACCACATGTCAGGGGCGGAAAAATGGCCGCGGACCACGTGTCAGGGGCGGAAAAACGGCTGGGCGCCAAGCGGTGGGAAAACAGCCACGGACCACATGTC